CCTTCCATTTGGTCTTTGCTTTGGATCAATATAGGGACGTTACAGTCATACATTGTTTCCAGATTAGATTGTTGACTGGTTCTCTCATAGAGATCCTAGAGGGGGTGTAGAGCAGGAGCAGTGACAAACGTTTTTATCTTTGATGCATGATATTGCTCTTGTTGATCGGGATGATAGGTTAGATTGGTTTCTAGATGCTTCAAACTCTTTTTCTGTCTCTTCAGCAAGTGTGTTTATGGTTAGGAGTTTGTTGGGTATCGAGGGGATGAAGATTAAATGGAACAGTTGGGTACCTATAATGTTTCAATTTTCAGAATAAAATTTTCATTTTAAAACTGGCAGAAACACCCATTTTCATAAAGGTACATTTAAAGCAAAATCATTTGTTCATAAATTGAAATCCTTAAATCAGAGTTATAAGTAAGTATAGCAGAATTACCAATCATAAAACTGCCGATGTGTGTATCCAGTCTTGTCTTCGTATCCCTACGAACTGATAAAGTACCTTAAAAACATTAAATCCATAATTGTAAGCACAAATCTTAGTGAGCTCCCCAAAGTATCACATACATCACAACACAACAAAACATATATAACAACTATGAGTTATCAACAAACCTATGGACTATCAGGAACCTTAAGTTATCAACAACTAAAATATAACAATTTAGGTTATCAATAACCCCGAGCTATCAGTAGATCACATGCACCAAATTAGGTTATCAGCAACCCCAAGCTATCAACAACACACATACAAAAAATTAGGTTATCAACAACCTTGAGCTATCAGCAGGGTCACATACAACATATGATATAGGTAACACAATTAGAAACCTCACCTAAAGTAAACAACAGACACTTAACAACAACATCAACAACATCAACAACTGAAACAACTAACTCAAGTTACCTAAATCCAAACCGAAACTAGTCCTTAGCTAAACACTCCATTCTATCAAAGTTTAACCAAAAAGTCAAACTGGTCAAAAAGTCAACGATCAACGGTTATAGTTAATCGGTCAACCAACACTGACCACTATGCCACAGCCAAGTCCTTCACTGCATCATGATCCTGACATCAGATCACGATGGCTTCCTTTCTATCACACAACGACTAAACCTATGTCGCGTCGTGGTCCCGGCCGATGACCCACTTAATCTATTAAGTGCTTAATCCGACAAGTCCAAGTCTCATACTTTCTAGATCTGAATCAACATGATGTCTAAATGGATAAAGTTTTTAACTTTATCCATTCTAAGGCCACAAACTTCCAAGATGTAAAACCGTAAGTTGAGAAATGACCAAAAACTCATCTTTCTTTAAGCATTGAGTAAGGAGAACTCTTGCATGTACTCTCTTCTCCACCAAATGACCAAATAACATCCCACACATCAACTAAAAGCTCTAGAGTTCTTCTAACTCAGTGAGATAAGCCAAAAGGGACCAAAACTTGCTAAAATGGACTAAAAACCCAACAAACTCTTAGATATATAGATGAACTGAAATAAAGCTTGGATCTTTAATGCTTACGAAGGTCTAGAAGGTGAATGACGGCTGAATACTTCAAATGCATAGCTTCAAAGACCGATCTTTATTTTTCTTCTTCCTTATTAAGCACAACACCACCAAAAGAGAGCACCAAATGGTCATTAAGAGAGTACCAAAATAGATTTAGGAGAGATGATGAGCTCCAAACACATGGAGGCTAGGGTTTCATTAGAGGTGTTCTAGAGGAGGTGGATGCTGAAAATGATGAAATCTTAGGGTTCATGACCTTTAAATACCTCAAAACTCTAAAAAACACGCAACCCACGGGGCAGGGGTGCCCCACACTCATTAAAGGGCGCTCCACACTTCTCAAATAAATTTACGATTTTTTAGTTTTTAGCTTCAACTTTAAACAATCATAACTTCTTCGTTCCAACTCTGTTTTCAGTGATCTTTATATGCATGCAAATGTATTGACAAGACCCACAATTTTATCTAATTACTTTTGACTTAAAACATACCAAACTAAATTCATTAAGTCAAGTAAGAAGTCCAAAATATTACTTTTCCCATTTTACCATTTGGCTCCAAAGCACAATTCAAGGGCTTAAATCACTTAATTAACATTATCATCTTCCAATAGGGTCTAAACTCTATTCGATCCAATTACGATCCGCTAACTGAAATCAGAAACATCCTGAAACTAGGTGTATAGTTCCTATAAAGTTGAATTCATCGTTTGGCGTATTATATTAGAGTGTATTCCCTTAAGGGAGAGATTATCGGCTCGGGGGATTACTTTGGAGTTGATCATGTATCCTTGCTTTTCGAGTTCAATGGAGACATTGACTAATATTTTTGCAGGTTGCTCTTCTTTGATTGAGGTTTGGGGTCGGATTGCAATTTGGTTGGGAGTGGAGATGCCTTCTTTTACTTTTCAGTCAATTTTCATTTTGGCGGATTCGATTCGGTTGATAGGAGATCAACATAAAGCTTTTGATACAGAGGTGATTAATACTCTTTGATGTTTATGGAGTTTCCATAATTATTTTCTTTTTGGTTCTTAATTCCTAGGAAATCCGATTTGTTGAATAACTTGGCCGATAGGTTGTTTTTTTTGGATTCAAATAGGAGCATAAAACATAAAATTAATTAGGTTAATTGGCTTCATAATCTCGTCTTAGCTTGTATTTTTATTTATTTATTTGTTTTTGTAGTTATTTTTTTTCTAAATGCTTGCTAGAAGTTTTATTATTATTATTATTATTATTATTATATGTTAAGCGTTCATCTCTTCAGATCTTATGTAGAAATGATGACATGCATAAGTAAACCGTTCCCTCCGAGCTTTGGGTACATAGATTCAATTTTCAAAAAATCGTATAAAAATTATGCGCAATTATGAAGTTACATGTTGTACAACTATATGAACCGTTATACACATTATTAATCACTTTAATGATGGGTGCCACATCATCACCACACATAACCACTAAGAGGTTGATATACCTACCACTATAATCCTCATATTTTTTGATTTTTAAATAAAAAAATATATATTTTATTGTATATAGAGGTAAAAAAAGTTTGAGAGATAGAGAGAGAAATAAAAGTATTAGAGGGTGACTTATGTTGTGTGCACCACAATCAACCACTACCACTAGCTACCAGTAGTGGGTGGTTTCACATAGAACACTGAGTTTGTTCTTAGTATACTAGATGGTTTTACCCAAAACTCATTAGGGTTCATCCCCTTTAAAATCCGTGTTAACATGTTTGGACAAATTAATAAAATAAAAAACAAAATAAAACCACTAAACGAGAGAACACTTTCGAAAACATCATATTTTAGTTCTGAAAATTAATGGTGTTTTTTGCTTTCCAAGAAGATGTGAAAATTAATGGTGTTTTTTTTGCTTTCCTTACTTTTGTTTAAATTTTAAATCAATGAAAAAAATTATGTACAATAAACATTAGTGAATACAACAATGAACAATATATATTTTTTTAATAGGAAATGACAGCTAATAACCATAAATTTACTCATTAGTCACTAAACTTTTTAATTGTATCCAATAAAGAAACCAACTTTTTATTTTGGTTTTAAAATATCATCGATTATGATTTTTATCGATTAAAATGACAACGAACATCATTGTTGCTATTGCCACGTCTAACTAATAGCCTATGATAATAGTTTTTCTCAAACCATAACTTCAATTACATAGATTTTAACCGATTAAAATGACAATGTCACGAAACAATATGATGTTTCTATTGATTATCGGTTTTGGTTTGAGAAAATTGATTGCAAGAGGCTTTTAGTTAGATGTGACATGATGATATTCGTTGTTATTGATGAAAATCGTAATAATTGGTATTTTAAAACCAAAATAAAAAATTAGTTACCTTATTTGATACAATTAAAAATTTAGTGATCTAAATAACAAAGTTTATGGTGTTGGTTACCATTTCAAGTTATTTTTCTCATACCATTTTTTTAATACCATTTACTGTTGCATAAGTTATTTTTTTTCATACCATTAACTGTTGCGTATATACATATATGGTATTTTCACAAAAAGGCTTGTGCAAATATAAAAAAAGTTTTGTTTTCTTTGTTGTGCAAATGTTAAATTTGTTAGTATTAAGGACTCTAGATAATTATACACAAATATGATAATAAAGATTCGAATAGCAATAAAGAACAATTTTTTTAACATATTTTATTTTATCAATAATAACTAAGCTACGTCCACAAATTTTAAAACAAATCTTTTTCTATTAAAATAGTACTCATCTTGTTAGCATGTACTTACTTTAAACATGACAACCACTCCCCGATTACTTGCTCCATTTTAAATGAAAAATGCGACATAATTGTCATTAATTAAATTATAAACTGATCACTCAACTATTATTGATGCTATTATCAGGATATATAACGTGACCCGTCCATTCCATCATTGAGCTTCAACTCCAATATTATTATCTTAATTCATGGAAAATTAAAACTCATGAAGGTCTTATTATAAGAAAATGTCTATATATTTTGCTGGCCTATATTAATACATTAAAACATTAAAATGGGAAATGCTGAGTGGTCGAAAATCAAACAAAAAGGTTTCAAATAAATAAGATTGTAAATCGATTTATTTGATGAAATCAAATTGTTGTTAATAGGTAATACCAGAGTCCTTAATGAATCATAACCATATTAACACATTAGTTGTAATATTCCGAGCCTCCATTACTAACGAACAAGTATTTTCGTAATCAAGGCCGGTGGGGTGGCAACAAAGTCAGGGTCAGCCACCTTGGCCCCACGGTCGGTGCCACCTCAAATTCTATATACATAACTGAGCCTTCATAGCCACATATTTAAAACTTCAAATATTTAATATTCTGAAGTTGAGAACTATATAATCCTTTGTTGAAACCATTCACAAATCACACTTTCAGCAATTCAACCATCTCATCTTTTGACTTTTAGCTTCAAAGAGTTGTAAAAATGGTGAAGTTGACAATCGGTAGCATTGGTGACTCTTTTAGCGCAGGTTCAGTCAAGTCTTACTTGGCTGAGTTCATTGCCACCCTTCTTTTCGTGTTTGCGGGTGTCGGGTCAGCTATTGCTTATGGTATGTTATATACATTTCTTTCTTAAACCATATAAAATGAAAACATATGCATTCTTTTCATTACAATCTATCTAACGTATAATGGAGTTTTATAAACTTTTCAGGTAAGCTCACAGCAGATGCAGCACTAGACCCCGCAGGATTAGTTGCAGTGGCAATAGCCCATGCATTTGCACTCTTTGTTGGGGTTTCAATAGCAGCCAACATCTCCGGAGGCCATTTGAATCCAGCTGTCACCTTCGGATTGGCTATTGGTGGTAACATCACCATCATAACCGGTTTATTTTATTGGATTGCCCAACTTCTTGGATCCATCGTCGCATGTTTCCTCCTACAATTTGTCACCGGTGGCCTGGTAAGTTTTCATATATCATATCTTCGGTGCTAACTAAAACAACTTCTGATTCAAAATCTTGGATTTGTATTTACATATTTGGAATTTGACAGGCCGTTCCAACCCACGGAGTTGCTAGTGGGATGAGCAGTATTCAAGGAGTTGTGTTTGAGATCATCATAACTTTTGCTCTTGTCTACACAGTCTATGCAACCGCTGCTGACCCTAAAAAAGGATCACTCGGAACCATTGCACCCATCGCAATCGGTTTCATTGTTGGAGCCAACATTTTGGCTGCTGGAGCTTTCAGCGGTGGCTCAATGAACCCAGCTCGATCATTCGGCCCTGCGGTCGTTAGTGGTGACTTTTCACAAAACTGGATTTACTGGGTCGGCCCACTTATCGGTGGTGGGTTGGCTGGATTAATCTATGGTGATGTTTTCATTGGATCGTACGAGGCACTTCCAGCCTCAGGAGACTATGCTTAAGTCCTTTTATTTTTTTATTTTCGTTTTGTATTTCATCTTTTTTGCTTAATGGTCGAGGATTTAACATCCTTATTGTTTGAGTGAAAACTTAAGAATTGTAAAATAATTTTCTTTACACCGGAATACATACAATCTGAAACTTGTAATCATTTCATTTGGTGTGTTCCTTTGGAAAAATTCATTCTTGTAACTTATGTAACAAAGCAAATTAAGAATACATAGGATGGTGATAAGGATTCCAAGATGTTAGAGGAGACACTGATGATGATCACAAATGCGATGTGGTGGTAGTGGTTGATGCCAAACATATGAAAACATTAATTCTTAGTGAGACATATGTGATTGATTACATATAAGCAGTGGCGGATCCAGAACAAAACTCAACCAAAGTCCATTTTATACCTTACTCATTAGCGACTTAGAAAATTAACAGGGGCGGTGTCAGTTGCCGGTTCTAATTCCGTCGACGGCGGCAGTTTAGGAACTAAAGGGAAAAAGAAGGGAATAATTAAGTATAGAGGGAGAAAAGAAAAAAAAAATTAAAGAAGTTTCTAATATTTTATATCTTGAGAGTGGGTGCCAAACAGAACCTTGTATCTAATTACCAAATATATATATATATATATATATATATATATATATATATATATATATATATATATATATATATATATATATATATATATATATATATATATATATATATGGTGAAAATCAATTTCAAGGGGGGTCCATGGTGTAACACCGTAAATTTCAAAACAAAATTTTCAATTTTCTTATAAAACATAATTCGATTAATATTCATCAAACAACCATATTAATTATCCAATATAGGTCAATACAAAATCCCAAGATCACAATGTAAAAACTCCGAGTGTGTGTGTATGGATCAAGTCGGCGCCTTCCCGCGGTCGTCACTAGTACCTGAAACAATAACATCAAACACTGTAAGCACAAAGCTTAGTGAGTTCCCCAAAATACCACATATCACACATATTAGCCACTCGAGGCTATAACTCTGTGGGTCTGTGCACCCAAACTCTGTGAACCCTCAGGTTCTAGCTCTGATAAACATGCACCACATAAATCACATAGAAATAATGTAGTACAACACATAACATACATAGCATACAAATACTCTATCACATAACTCTGGTTACCTACTCAAGGTAAAGTATAGTGAGAAGACTCACCTCGCGTATCTTGGTATCTCACGAATCCTGGAAATCTGTCATGCTCGATCCTCTGAGCTCTAATCCTCCTATAACATTATATGTCTCTAATTAACACTTTATATCTCTAAGGTTGACTATCCCTAAGAAGTCAACACAGGTCAACTCTGGTCAACGGTCAACGGTCAACTTTGACCGGACTCGGCGAGTGCTATGGCGACTCGGCGAGTCTAGACGTTTTCACCAACCCTCTGAAATTCCCTTTCTACACGTCGAGTATTCCCCCTTACTCGACGAGTTTCTCCTGAAAGAATCGCGGGGCCACCCCGACTCAACTCGCCGAGTCTCAAGAACAACTCGGCGAGTCCCAGTTTGACTCAGTCCACTCGTCATCCCTCTCCAACTCACCCTGACTCACTGAGTCTACCCATGACTCGATTGGACCACTCACTGAGCAATCCCAAGGCAATCTTCAAACTACTCGCCGAGTCTGATGAACAGACTCGGCGAGTCCATGCCATGCAACCACTCCAACTTGCTTCTAAGGTCAGATCTGCTTCCACAATCTATAGATCTGGCCTCCCTAGACTGATTCATCACGTAAAGCTTCTATCTTGGTGCCCATAACACACCCCATGGCTCATAAATGGAGTTTTGACCTAAGACATGAGGATTCCAATCCAAAGCCTCCATTGATTCCTAAAAAGCTTGGGTAAAGGGACACTCTGGACCTCTAAGGGTCCAGATCTATGGTTCAAACCTCATAAGGGACCAAGAGGACACTAGATCTTGCCATAAAAGGGTTCAACAAACCCTAAATCTAGATAAACAACAACAAGGAAGAAGATAACTCGAAATTATTACCACAATAGTGATGCTCTGGACTCCAAACCCTCAGAAGTGCCTCCACTTGCTTTCCCTTGGCTAGTTCTTCTCCTTCCTTGCAACAATGACACTTCCAAGATCAATAATGGCCTCCTACTTAGCTCCAAATGCTCACACTTGATTAGGGTTTCACTCAAGGGACTAGTGAGCACAAATGACAGCCATTAGGCCCTTTAAATAGGTCTCAAACCCGAGAAATTAGGGTTTCATTACACAGCGCTGACTCGCCGAGTCCATATCCTGGACTCGCTGAGTCCAGGCGCGATCCCGCGACCAGATCCACGTCCCTACTCGGCGAGTCTGAGCTCCAACTCGCCGAGTCCCCTCTCAAATCACCAAAAATATAAATATACAAGATACCTGAAAAATCTAGCTGTTACAACTCTCCCCCACTAGGACTAGACTTCGCCCTCAAAGTCTCGCTCTAAAAACAGCTCCGGATGCTGCTCCTGCATCATACGCTCTGGCTCCCAGGTCATCTCTGATCCCCTCCAGTGTTGCCACTGAACCAACACCAGAGGTACCTCCTTATTTATCAGAACCTTGATCTTCCGATCCCGGATGGCCACTGGTCTCTCGGCATAATTCAGGCTTGCATCCACCTGAATATCCTCTAACGGAACCACTGCCGATTCATCGGCTATACACTTCCTCAATTGCGACACATGAAAAGTGTCGTGAATCTGTCCCAACTCTGCTGGCAACTCCAACCGATAGGCTACCCGGCCTACCCTCGCAATCACACGAAATGGACCTATAAACCGGGGCCCCAACTTGCTCCTCTTCATGAACCGAATCACTCCTTTCCAAGGAGAAACCTTCAGGAGAACGAAGTCGCCGACCTGAAATTCAAGCTCGGACCGGCGCCTGTCCGCATAACTCTTTTGTCGGCTCTGGGCGGAGTGCACGCATATATAAGATTGAATCAGAAGCCGGTTCGACGACTAGACGGGGGTTCGGGGGTAGCGCCCCTGGGTTCGGGGTTTCCAAAGGGGCAGCGCCCCAAAACCTCACCGAATTTTACATATGGGAACATAATGGAAAATTCAATTTCTTGAGGGTGATTATGGTAAAACTAACGAAACTTGTTAGTTTTTGGTAACCCTAAATCCTCATTAAATTTGGATTAACATTACTTGCTTCCAAAGCAACCAATGATGACCCAACCCTAATCATGTTTAATATATAAACAACTCTTCCTCTACAGAAGCGGGTTACGATATTAAGCTATCATTTTCATCAGACTTTCACAGAATCCTCTAGCATATTGTCTTATGTCTTCTGTGCCTAGAAACATAAGTGTCCACTTGGATTATCCTAAGCTGAATTTCTTGTAACCCAGACATAGGGTAGAAATATCAGTTCGGAAAGTGATATCGCGATCCAAGTTGGTATCCAAATCTCCACCACAAACCTTAAAATTCCCAACAAAGATTTGGTAGAATATATATATATATATATATATATATATATATATATATATATATATATATATATATATATATATATATATATACATACATATAATGTAAAACCATGACATACAAAGTATGTCGTAAAACTATGTTAAAAATCATGATGTACAGAGCATGTCGTAATTTGAAGTTGTAAATGTCTGTCATAATTACAAAAATGTTACAAATTATGACATTCAAAGTCAATTGTAAATGTTGGTCATAAAGGTCAGTCATTTTCTTTTATGACACGACTTTCAAGGACAAACATTTTTCTGTCATGTATAGGCATTTACGACAGACATTGTCTGTCAAGAAAAACCTCTTTTCTAGTAGTGGAGGATAGTGACACGAATGGCAAGATGTTGGAGGAGACAATGATGGTGATTAATTACATAATACTTATAAAAATTGTTTCATTAGTTACAAATCCAGTTATAGATCATCGAACGGGATGCAAAATGAGAATTTTGGTTGTGTGTTAAACATGTCATGTTTAGGAGTAAATTACCTTAAAAAGTATGAAATGAGTTGCAAGACCACAAACAACCATTTTCCTCCCTAAAAAACATTACCATGTGTAATGTGTCTCATTCAAGCTTTCTCTTGTATATGAAAGAAGTAAATGTAGAGGGGAAGCAAGAGAACAACATTTTATCTACATATTTTTCGAGATTTATCTATATTTCGATTTTAGTGAGATAATGTGTCATATTTTTGTTGGTTGCACGGTCGGATTGCGATTTGATGGGTAGTGAAGATGTCTTGTAACATCCTAAATTTCCAAATCAAAATTTTCATTTTAAAATTCTTATAAAACATTGTTTCATAAAAACCATCTCAAAAAGATCAGAAATGTCAATTACAAATCATCATAAAAACATCAGAGTGTCCCAAAATATTCGGAATCATAATTGCAGACGAATGTGTACAATCAAGCATTTGTCTTCCCATGATCCTCAAAAGTACCTGAAACACATTTAATCAACAACTATAAACACGAAGCTCAATGAGTTCCCCAAAATACCACATACATCACAACAAAAAATAAGCAACTATGGGTTATCAGTAACCCTAAAGACTACCCAAAGTCTCAGTGGGCAAATAACACGCCCTAGTGGTTATTAACAACCCTAAAGACTACTCGAAGTCTCAGTACGCACAGTAATACATATCACAGTAATAGCATATAGACCCAACAACTCATCACAAATATAAATATATTCTACCACACGGGTAAGAATAGTGAGGAGACTAACCTTGCACAGATGATTAATAGAACTCACACCCGAACTGCCGAAACTAGACTCCATCTAATAATTGCACCAATTAAACCTAATTAATATTAAGGTCTTTTTCCATACTCCACTAATCCCCAGACAAGTCAAGTCCATAATTAGGGAAAAAGACCGTTTCCCCTCCAAAATCCCTCACAATTCCAATTAAGGCACAATTGGTCAAAAGTCAATGGAAGTCAACACACAGACGTATGTGTAACACCCCGATGTTAACGTACTTCTAAATTCATCCCTATAATTTTATTTATGAAAATTTGGTCCCTAAGTCCCAAGTGAAAGTGTCTTGAAGCCCTAGTGGCATTTTTATAATTCTGGTAGGAGAAGTACGCCAAGCGTACATGTGTGTACGATGTGTGTACTAGGGCACACCCTAGTACACTAGGTGTGAACTTATGTACGTGGAGTGTACTAGCTAAAGAAGGAAACCCTAAATTTTAGGGTTTGGGTGGTATTTAAGCAACGTTAAGCCTCATTTCTCTTCTCATTTCCAGCCTCCATCAGCATATTCATGTTCTCTTGCAAACCCTACCCACTTTTGAGCTCTTGGAAGGTTTAGTATGAGTTTTTGTGTGTTCCAAAGGAAGAAGAAGGTGGTGGTGAAGCTTGAAGCAAGCTTTGATATGAGAGTTTTGCATCCTTCTTCATCATTATAAGGTATAACGTTCATACCTTGATGACTTATCTGCTAGATCACATTCTTGGGTGTTTTTATGTTACTTTTTGGTCCCAAAAGTCTCATCTTGTGCATGGTTGGTTCTTGTCGATTTGGGTTGTCCTTTCAGACCATAGGAGGGGTCCTAAGCCATACAAATGTGAAAAATCCCATAATTATCATTGGCCTCCATGGAAATAAGCTCCATAAGTCTAACCTCAAGCAATCAAACCCTTTTTATCATAATTTTTGTTTGTCCTTGACTTGAACCGAAGACTAATAACAGGAAACCATTATTCAAGAGTATCCCAAAAACATATATTCGATACAAAAAACCATAGGGTCAAAAGAACTAATCAACGTGGATTGTTCAATAAAAAAAAGATACTTATCCATCTTCCTCCATAGGCCGACTACGAAAAATAAGGAACAAAAAATAGAACCAATCAATAAGAACAAAATACATATTTTAACAATCTAAAGTCTTAATTAAACTCGATTGCATTGGCAAATTACATTTACATTTCCTCATATTTGTTGTGAAGTTCGGATACAACTAAAATTATGTTTGACATAAGAAAATAAATACATATTAAAATGTAAACCCATTCCATATAATACATATTAGAATGTAAAACTAATATGAAGAAGAAAAAGAAGAGGTCAAGATCAGGTTTACCTGGGCAACAACGAAGCAAACTAGCAGATTTGCTAGTCATAAGCATCTTCTTGAAAATTTACTGTTGCATAAGGGTTCCAATAATATCAAACCCGAAAAACCCGCTTTAAGAATCAATTTCCTATCAATAAGAACAAAAATAAGATAAATAATTGATACCTTGATAATGGAACTAGAAGTCAATATGTCAATGGGAACATTGGTATTATTCATTGAGCAGGATACATGGGGGCAAATGGTTGTGGCCTGCGTTAGGGTTAGAGATGATGGTGACGAAGGCGTCACAAAAGTGAGCCGGTGAATGAAGGATTTACCATAAATATAGGAATGATATTGATATCAATGTGTATTTTTAGGTAATTCAAAATGTGTGACCTAATTTATAGGAGATGATGCATTCGATTTTATGGTGCAAAGAATGGATGGGAAAATGACTCATAAGAATTCCCTAGTAATGACACGTGACAAGTTTGCAAAAGAGGAACATGTGGCATGCAAAATACTTTTTTATTAAGAAAACAAGATAAGAATAAAAGATAAACTTGATATTGAGATTTTTTTAGCCCCAAATCTTTTTCAACTTAAAATACTACTCCATCTTGTTAGCATTACATTAAACATGACAACCAATTCTCGATTCCATTTTTAAGTGGAAGATGTGCCATAATTGTCATTAATTAAATTATAAACTCGTTAAACTATTATTTTATGCTATTTTGATATTTCAAAAATTATTAGAGTATAACGTGACCCGTCCATTCAATCATTTGAATTTGTACACCCATATTATTATTTTAAATAATGGAAAATTAGAACTTATGACGGTTTTATAAGATAATGTCTTTGTATATTTTAGTGGGTTATATTACATTAAAATGGGAAACTGCTGACTTTAGTGGTCGAAAATCAAACAAAGTGTTTTAAAATAAATAAAATTGTTGGATGGAATCAAATTAGTATCAATATGAGTCAAGTAATTATAAATGGGTAATAACACAGCCATTAATTATAACCATATGTAACACATTAGTTGTAATATTCCCTGCCTCCAATATTAGTAACGAACGAAGATTTTCGTGATCAAGGCCTGTGGGCGGTGGGGCGGCAAAAATCAACACGGCCAGGCTCAGCCATCTTTGGCCCCAAGGGCGGTGCCAGCTCAAATTCTCTATACATATATACGACACTTCATATATAGCCACATATTTAAAACTTAAATATTTAAATTATTTTAATAATTTTATGTTAAGCACTATATAAGGCTTTGTTGAAACCAATCACAAATCACACTTTTAGCAACTAAATCATCTCATCTTTTCACTTTTAGCTTCAAAGAGCTCTAAAAATGGTGAAGTTGACAATCGGTAGCATTGGTGACTCTTTTAGTGCAGTTTCAGTCAAGTCTTACTTGGCTGAGTTCATTGCCACCCTTCTTTTCGTCTTTGCAGGTGTCGGGTCAGCTATTGCTTATGGTATGTTATATACATTTCTTTCTTAAACCATATAAAATGAAAACATGTACATGTGTTAATATTATTATGATTAAAACAAATAATGGAGTTTCATAAACTTTCCAGGTAAGCTCACAGCAGATGCAGCACTAGACCCCGCAGGATTAGTTGCAGTGGCAATAGCCCATGCATTTGCACTCTTTGTTGGGGTTTCAATAGCAGCCAACATCTCCGGAGGCCATTTGAATCCAGCTGTCACCTTCGGATTGGCTATTGGTGGTAACATCACCATCATAACCGGTTTATTTTATTGGATTGCCCAACTTCTTGGATCCATCGTCGCATGTTTCCTCCTACAATTTGTCACCGGTGGCCTGGTAAGTTTTCATATATCATATCTTCGGTGCTAACTAAAACAACTTCTGATTCAAAATCTTGGATTTGTATTTATATATTTGGAGAATTTGACAGGCCGTTCCAACCCACGGAGTTGCTAGTGGGATGAGCAGTATTCAAGGAGTCGTGTTTGAGATCATCATAACTTTTGCTCTTGTCTACACAGTCTATGCCACCGCTGCTGACCCTAAAAAAGGATCACTCGGAACCATTGCACCCATCGCAATCGGTTTCATTGTTGGAGCCAACATTTTGGCTGCTGGAGCTTTCAGTGGTGGCTCAATGAACCCAGCTCGATCATTCGGCCCTGCGGTCGTTAGTGGAGACTTTTCACAAAACTGGATTTACTGGGTCGGCCCACTTATCGGTGGTGGGTTGGCTGGATTCATCTACGGTGATGTTTTCATTGGATCATACGATACACTTCCAACCTCAGAGGACTATGCTTAAGTTTTTTCTATCCCATTTTGCTTCGTTTGTTTCAGTTTGTATTTCATGTTTTTTGCTGAATGGCTGAGGATGTAACATCCTTATTGATTAATGTTTCAAGAATTATGGAAGGCCGGGAAGACTTAAGAATTGTAAAATAATATTGTTTACACCGGAATACATACAATCTTAAACTTGCGATGGCTTCGTTTGGTCTCTTCATTTGGAAAAAATTCATGCTTGTAACTTATAGAGACCCCAAGGGAGTCGTGTGTCCTAAGGCAAGTCAATATATTTTTAAAAATAAAAAAATATTTCTTTTGGATCAAACGTCTGTATTCGGACAGAAAATACCTCTTTGTTTTTTAGAAAATACCTCTTTGTTTTTTTATTATCCACAAGCTGTTAAAATAAATTAAATCTAATTAAACTTATTTAAAGAAAATTTAAAACAGTTTTTCAATAATTTTATAACTTTATTATAGATGATTAACAAATGTACATCAACTTTTATCTATTATTATATAAAAGTGAAAATAAACTGATATGAATTAACGTATATATTTGATAAAAACCAACAAACTTTCATTTCAAAGTTATACCTAAATATTGTAATTGAGGATAAAATATTTAACATATAAATTGGATGAAAATAAACTTTGATATTAAATGAAAATTTTCAAAATTTTCATTTTACTTTTTCAATTAAATCAATTAAAAAATAATTAAAAAATAAGCATAAATATTTTCCCAAAAAATGAATAATACAACATTAAATATTGTTTTATAAAGTTTGATACAAAAAATATAAAACAATATTAAGATTTTTTTTTCATGCCTATATAAACTGCTTCAATGTAATTATATTTTTATTAATAAATTTATCACAAATGTCATTATTGTGTCACCGAACCTTTTTACTTTTAGTATTGTAATTTCTTTTATTAAAATTTGCTTTTAATAGATAAAGTTTTAATAAATCTGAGTAAAAAAATCAAAAATATATGTTTTTTTTTTTTTTTTTTTTTTTTAAACTAGAAGTTGCATGAAAATGTTTGAAGACTATGATCCTCCTTTATAATTCATGTTTTACAATCTATCTAATCTTTCGATTTCTTTTACTAAATCAATTTTTTAGAATTATATTTTTAGCCCCTTTTAAAAATTTACATCATAATTAATACTTAAGGATTATACTCCAAGCTATACTTTTACCCCTTCATTTATACATCATTCCTTGTATTCATATAGAATTATACTCCAAGTTACATTTTTCTCCCCTCATTTATAATTCATGTTTTAGTCTTTCAATTTCTTTTACTAAAACAATTTTTTAGAATTATATTTTTAGCCCCTCAACTATTATAAATTGCATCATAATTAATGCTTAATTAAATCCATTATACTCAAAGTTATACTTTTACCTCTTCATTTATGCTTAATACTTTACGATCTATACTCTCTTACAATTTGGTTTATTAAACCAGTTGAGCTTATATATTTAACATCAACTTTTATAAATTTATATTTACCTTTTTTCTGTTGATTAAATTACTTTTTAGTTTTTCATTGTAATAATTCACCCTTTAAATTTAATATATATATATATATATATATATATATATATATATATATATATATATATATATATATATATATATATATATATATATATATACCATTTTTACTTGTCGTACAGAGCCTTCAAAATCAATGGACCGACCTAAACTTATGTAACAAAGCAAATTATGAATACAAACGATAATGATAAGGAGGATGCCAAGATCGCAACTGTTAAAAAAAGGATACAAAGATGTTATGGAAGACAGTGGTTATGATGACATGTATGAACTGGTGCGAGACATGTATGATAACCCAACTAAAAAAAGTTACCTTTACGACTACAAATAACGTTGTAATTGATGCCTTAAATCGTCGCTACTACCTTTAGCGACGACAAGTCGTCGCAAAAGGATCAGCGCTATTAACTCGTAGCATATACTCAGATTGTCGCAATTAGTGTCATCTTTAATAGTTGGCATCGCTAAAAGCCATTGTCGTCCATATTAGTGTCGTCTCTACTTTCTGACCATCGGTCAAAGTTCTTTCCGACCAAGCTTCTCGGAGGCGAGCATTGTCGCAATTGGTCGAGGTTGTCGCAAAAGATGTCTCTGCTAATTTTTTTTAATACAATTTATATAATGTGTCTCTGCTATTGGTGGAGGTTGTCGCAAAAGATGTCTCTGCTAATTTTTTTTAAAATACAGTTTATCTAATGTGGCATATTTGATATTTTAAGTAATGTGGTATATATTGTTTAATGTTATTTTAAGAAATATCATTCGATCACATCCATAAATTATCTAATAAATCCATAATAACTGTTATCCTAATATGATTTTGGGCTTTATTTTGTATTGGGTCTTATATTGACCCATTATCTATAAAACACTAATTAGCTAGTCTATATATTTTGTTTTTTTCTTTCATTGTATCTTGTACTTCTCATTTGATAACATTATAAAACCCTAGCTGTTTTATGTTTTGATAGTTTACAATAACATCATCAATAACATAAAATAACAAATACTAGGTATCTTCGTCTTCCCTATCGATGTTTTCCATGTCGTTGTTGCTGACATTGTTGACTTGGTTCTTAAAAGCGGATAATATCTCTAGTTGTCTTCACAAACACCAAGTTTTCGAGAAAAACGTTAACATCCACATCCTAAAAAGTAAAGTATATAAGTTAAAATATCAAACTAAAAAAACAAAGTATTATTACTTAACAATTAAGTTACAAGAAGATTAAGTCATTAATAGTTTAATAAACTATCAAACCAACCAAATGAAGTAAGTCCTTAACAATTTAACAAACTATCAAACTACCAAATCAATTAAGTCTTTAACAATTTAACAAACTTCCAAACTACCAAATTCATAACAAATGAATTAAGCACATAACAAATCAACAAAGTATCAAACTACCAAAAAAAAAATACTATAAATGAATCAAGTTCTTAACGATATAACAAAGTACCAAGCTACCAATTTCTTTAAGAGTTTAATAAGTACTTATGTTGGTTGTAGTGCTTGTGACTGTGATTTTGACTACCACTGGGAGGGAGCACTTGTACCTGCTGCAGAAAAAGGTTTAGGCCCGATGCCTCTCATATGTCCTCTTTGAGCACCTAACACCTTCTCAAATATGGCTATCTAATCAATGGAGTTTGGATCACCACGAGAGTCGGTTTTGCTGAGTTTGTAAAGCACTCTTACAAACTAAAGCATTATGTATTTCATGAAGATTGTCAATATACTTCAAAAATAATGAAAAAAAAAACAACAATCTGCTTCATTGTTTAGTAATAAAAAGTAAACTTACATATTAGTCTTTGAATATTGGGTCAACAAATTCCTCTTGTTTATTGACATGCCCACGGTGAAATGATTCAAGTCTATTGAAATTTTGTTTAACATTACAAAATATGTAATACTTGGATAAACATTACAAAATATGTTATAACTAAATAAACATTACCATAACTTACATTCTTAAAACAAGCACTACCATAACGGTACGTCCCTCCATGATTCTTAACTACTTGCATCTTTCAACATTTTGTGCTTTCACTTGATCGTTATTATGCTTATCTCTTAAGAAGTTGTCAATAGTATTACTCCAATGTTGTGGATCCATAACCGTGGGGAATGAGCCCTTGCTGCCTCCATATCCCGTTACAAACCAATAAAACGAGTTTTTGCAATATGTTTGTGGCCTCTATACCATGCATATATCCGATTGTTCAATTACACCCAATAAATTAAAGCATGTGTAACGTCCCGATTTTCAAAGGCAAATTTTACATTTTATTTAATAAGTTATATCATAGTATGTTTACATTTGAGAAAACATAATTGTGAATACGTGTGTACAGTCGAACCTTTCCCTTCTCACGAACCAATGGAGTGCCTGAAAAACATTTGTAACAATTGGGTAAGCGCTAGGCTTAAGGGATTCCCCCATTATGTTTTGTTCAAAAATTACACAAGTATAAATCAACCAAATTGAATGAGAGGTGATGTTTGAATTGTAAAATAGAGAGAGAGAGAGAGAGAGAGAGAGGACACGATTGTCTACAATGAAAGCCCTTGATCCTTGTTAGGATCTTCGACACAAAACCTTGGGAGGTGATAATGATCACCTGCCTTGATGATTTTATTAATATAAAATGATTATTACAGAGAGTATTTCAATAAGAACAAGTGAAAAAGTTCGTAGAGTAAGTAGAGTGTGTCGTGTGTGAGATACATGTGTTAATTTATAGTCTAAACTAGCTAACAAAATGTTCAATATTCCTAGGATCCTTTATGTCCAGCTTTGTGAACGTTCATTGATTTGGTATTCCGGGTATTTCTGCACATTTGTTAATTAAGAACGAAATATAACCATTTTGACTATTTCTGCACATTTGTTAATTAAGAACGAAATATAACCATTATAAATGTTAGTAAATAACAATAATGGTAAAGTCAGGATCCTGAGATAGTTGAGGATCCTGAATATTTGACAAGGTTTGAGAATCCTGAATGCTTTGAGGATCCTGGCCCTAAAAATTTCCCCCAAGTCATTCTTGAAAATATAGGAGTTAATTTCGATAATATTAAAGTGATTACTTAAATTAAAAGGGTAAAAGAAGAGAGAGAATAGTACTTTTCAAAATTAAACCTTAACGGCTAGGTAATTTTGAAATCCAACGGGTGGATAACTAGTCGTTAATGGTCAAATCAACCTCAAATCTTCAGTATAAATAGAGGTGACTAGTTCCACAATTCTCTTTACTCGTCTTGATTTTCTTTACTTTAATCGTGCTACCGGTGATTTCGAAAAAGGTAACATCCTCTCTGCCTCATCTCCTTTGTACCAAATTTTCGATAGATGACCCTTTCTCGTAAGAAGATCCTAGGTCTTCCTGAAGATAATTTCATCGATCAAGGAGTCTCGTCTTATGACGAGACGT